AGATTACGCTACGCCCAAGGATTTAATTGTTTTGCTTGACCAATTACCAACATTGATGAGGAGAGTGGTGTGATGATTGGTAACTATGACCTAACGAATTATTTTTTAGTTTTTAGTACATTATCTACATCATCAAACAATTTTTCATAACACATTTTTGTTATGCAATAAAATTTCATAATGTATATTCCTATTTGCCGCGCCGTTTAGTATTTCAAATGACATCAGGAACAAACAAAATCTATTATTCCATAAATTATTTTCATTTATTTATTATACATCACTGTAATCACTTACCTTTGTTTTTAATTATTTTTCACTTCACAATCAAATAACTGTACTATTGCAAATCAAAAAATCAGATTTTTTTGGAATATTTGTTACGCTCCTACAGCACAGAAGGCTATGACAAGAGTAAGAAAACTTTGCAACGACCCGTTTCTTAGCCACTTCGTCTTTCCGATAACGTTTTACAAGTTTAAACAAGAAAACTCTTGCCGGGACTGCGCGGCGCCTACACTTCTAGAGATGACAAGTAAGTAGGTAGTTTAAATAGCATTAATTTCAAATTTCACCATCGGTATTGGTAGAAACATTTTTTATGTTGTTTTTTTGTAGTTTCAAAAAATCCTTAGTTTTGGATTGACTATTTATTCAATTTTGCCAACTCAAAGGGCGCCTTTAACGCCTTGGCGCCGTCGTGCGCCGCACGACCTTGCCCATATGGACGGCGCGTCCCTGCTCATTGGCCAGACAGATATTACATAAGGTTTGTTGTTTGTTCTGGTTCTACGAAATTCAGGTTCTAGCACGTCAGGATCATCGCAGTTGAAATAGAGCATTCTGGTTTATTGAGGATAAGTTTGGATTGATGAATACGACATGATCCAAAACAGTCGTCTTGAACCGTCCCGAATCGTTCCTGCTCTCGGAGGCTGAGCTGTTGAGAACTGTTCCCGTTGCTCATGCGCATTCATGTTGAAATTTGTTTGGGCTATTTTCTAGGATGTTTTTTTATTTATTTGATTTAAATAAATGATGATTGAGGTTAGATAACATTTGGACTGACTACAAGGATACGCTACATGACAAAATGGACATGATCATCAATATTTTCTTGCTTCATCTCTTCATATATACTATATACGATAGGTGGCACAGTGGTCTCCTCTCTCTCTCTCTCTCTCTCTCTCTCTCTCTCTCTCTTTCTCTATGTTAATGGCTTTAGCTTCCATTGATTGAGGCGCATTGAGCCAGTCAGTGGTCTCCTCAAAATGAGTTCTGATTTAACCAAGTGACCGAGACTATTTCGAACTGTTTGAGATTTTTTTTGCTTGTACGCATCATGTCTTGCGCAGAACAAACCTATTAGATTTGAACCCTAAGTTTTGTTTCTGTTTTAATCATTATATTCCAAACTATTCCATATCGATGATAATTAGTTCGAACATGCGTATTGATGCATATTAATAAGTTTTTATTTGTGAAATATCTTCTATTTACATAACATTCTCAATCTTAATTTCATCTACAATTTCAATATTTGCGATTACAAATACGATCGTAACAAATTTAAAATACAAATATTTGAATTTATATTATGGGTTTTCATTGATAAATTAACATTTTTGAATATATTTCTAAAGTAAAACTTCTTTACGCGCGCTTGACTTGGGGAGTGAGCTGGTGGATGCGTGACGAGAACGTTACAAAAAGTGTTATCGGGCGAGGCGAACGGAAGTTGAGTGGGAGATATAAGGTAGTGAAGATTGAAAGTGAGAGAGTTACGTTTCGTATATCACTGTAGGAGAAGAGAGAGATGTGCAAGCGAGTTGTCCATCTTCAGACGCAAAAACTCCTGCAAAACCTCCTGCTAAAATTAGTGGCAACGAATAATAGTTTCCTCCTAATTCTTCAGAGCCTACTCGACCGTAAATGTGTGCTCGCACCTCTCTCTCTAGTACAGTCAAAAATTTTTTCAAAATCGCCGGGTGTCCAGATAACGAAAATTTACCAAAATTTAGAATGAAGTTATGTAAATAGAAGATATTTCACATATAAAAATCTTCATAAATACGCATGTTCGAAAAATTATTATCACTCTGAAATAGTTTGAACCGATTCTGAAAAAATCAAAATACATTTGGAGACCTTAACAAAACCACAGATTACATACATCCCCTTATGTAATTCTTTGACAGCAGTTGTCACAGAACTATTTTAAATAAACCATAATAGAATTTCAAAATTGCCCATGATTGAATTGTACCAAACTCAAAAAAATCTGCATGATTCAGGATAATGTTCAGAAACGAACAAACCTAATTGCTTTTAACAATAACAATCAGTGACATCATATTATGGACTAGCCATTAAAGAGAGAACATTTTCTCCAACAACTAAAAAAAGATGAAGAGCATTACGTCACTCATATACTTAACGCAGATACAACATTACAATGTTTTACTTGTTGCATATTTCCATTGTGAAAATTTTGCGATATGATTTGTCACATGTGCTGTGACGCAGTGTCCAAGACGTTGTGTAATACGCAGGTGGAAAATATGTAAAAGTGACGTCATGGGCAGTCCTTATTATCATGTCCATGGTCCATGATAATAAAAAATATGTAAACATTAAAGAACAGAAGGAAATTATAAAATAATTAATGTCTGGTTGAATTACAAATCTTGGGACTGATACTTCTACAAAAATTAAATAATGCATAGTGACAGTGATTCCGATAATTTCTATGACGCTGAAGATTTCACATCAACTCAAAATTCAAGGTAATTTTTCAAGAAAAATATTCATCTATTTACTATTTTGGACTTTGGTTATTCAAAACCATTATCCCAAAACGTGTTATATTTTGAGCTCCTAACTGCAGGATGTACATATATTTGTTTTGATTCACACCGAATAACCAGTCCTCAGATTGGAAATTATAAAATATACTCTAATATTTTACAACTACACCGTCAACTATGACCCATTCAACAACATTTTCTATGGATACAACAAACTTGTTTCATAGAAAACTTAATTCAGTTTACATCACATTTTCTCTTGAATGGAATTTAAATAATCATTCAAAAATATCAGCACAGATGATTTCAAGTAGTTTTCTCAGTTTTCAATCTCTGTTTGCACAAAGACTTTCGTCGTCAACCCTGGAGTATTGACACACAATGTACGAGACCAGACGGAAACTCCATTTCAAGTAACTTGAAAATGGCCTTATGAACCGAAACCAGTCGTAACGAATAAACACAGTAGAAACTAGACAAAAGTATTTTCTTTATTCTATATTCACTATTATAATTATTGTAGTTTTAAAGATGAAAGGTTCAGCTATTTGCAGAAGATACTAGGAGTATTTATTGTGAATCTTACTTTGATTCTATAAAAGATGGAGTTATTCATAATTTGAATAAAATTTCTTTCAGTACATGTGAGATTGTGATGCCCGAAGATGCTATTGTATAGCAAAATACGTGTCGTGGTTTTATAAACTTTCAAGTGAAAATCTCACATTGAAGTGTGTTTAACATGAAAAACAGGATGTAATCAATACACCCCAAGTAAATTCAACACTAACAACTTAGCATGTATTCCCAGGAACCTCCTTTCATCACAGCAACTGACAATCCTACTGCTGAATATCCAGTCAATCCGCCACAAGACCGATGTATTATTTATTTTCTTAGAAAGCCAGAATTTTCCTAAATTAGTCCTTTTGACTGAACATTGGCTCAAGTCAGGTGAATATGCTCACGTGCCAGGATACTCAATAATTTCCAAATTCAATCGAACAGATCACATTCATGGTGGAACTTTAATTTTGATCAAAAATTCCCAGAACGGACCCTCCTTTATTAACATTGACAAGTTTAATACATTGCTACTTGAAAAAAATTTTGAATTTTGCGTGATATACTGCTCAGAATTCAAATTATACATAATATGCATATATAGGTCTCCTCCATTGGACATAAATTTGTTCTTGAAACACTTGGAATCATTACTCTCGCAACTACCAAATAGTTCATCGGTTATTCTTGCTGGCGACCTCAACATCAATTTTGAAGACTCCAGCTCCACAAGTACCTTACTATTAACCAATCTCCTTACATATTTCAATTTATCCATGCATGTAAACTGTCACACTTGTATCTCTCAATACTCAGCTTCATTAATAGACTACATTTGCAATAATTTAGATTGAACAAACACTGATTGTTCGGTTATCCCTTCTGGGCTATCGGATCATGAAGGTGTAGTCTTTTCCTCCAAATTCCCTTCCAAAACTGCCAGTAAATGTGAGAAAAGGAGTCGTTTATTCAGCAAGCGGAACTATAATAGGTTATATCAATAATAGGTTTTATCAACTGGGCTTCCTTCTTAGAACCACAATTACTCTCTTTGCTGATGACACCACTTTATTATGGCACAACAAGGACATTCCTACCCTTCAAGATGCCATCTCAGCTGACATCAACAAAATCAAAGAATGGTGCGACTGCAATAAGTTATCATTCAATATCAATAAAACTAGCCTACTTACCTTCCACTGCAACTTACCTGAGATCTGCCTTGGTGACAAAATCTTAGACAGGGTACATAATTATAAATTTCTAGGATTGAACATTGACGATAAACTGAAATTTAAAAATCACACAATAAACTTAAGCAAGAAGCTTGCCTCAGGTTGCTATGCATTAAGAGTGATTTCTAGAGAACTAGGCTACTCCCATTCAAGAACAGCTTATTTCGCTTTAATAGATCCCCATATTAAATATGGAATTGCCTTCTGGGGAGTCTGTTCTAGAGATTTATTTTAAATGATTTTTGTGCTCCAAGAAAGGGCTGTCCGATATATGTGCAAAGCGGCTCCCAGGGATCCATGCAACTCAACTTGGCTAAACGTCAAAACTCAAAATTCGTCAGGTATGTCACCGATGAGATGGCGAAGACTAACGGAATGTCATTTTTTCGGTTGTCGCCTTATCACTGTAATATGAATCCAATAGAGTTGGTTTGGGCTCGAGTTAAAGAATTTGTCGCAAGAAATAATAAGACCTTCAAACTGTGTGAAATAAAGAAATGCCTATACAGTGCTCTAGTCGACCAAGAAGCTTGGGAAGAATGTATCCACGAAACAATCAGAATCGAAGGAGAGATGTGGGATCTGGATGATCACATAAAGTCACTATCAGAAAAAATAATTCCACTTGTCGTCAATCCCTATAAAACTGATTCATCCAGTGAAGAATCACTCAACGAATCTCTGTAGACTTTTTTCAGATTAAAATTATCGCAATGTCTTATTCGAAGTAAGTATTCCCATTAAATCTATAAAATTGTTTCTGAATCAACTATAAAATCCAATAAGGACTTTGAATCTTCATTTCCAAACCAACANCGTACTTTTGGATTCCTACTGTTCGATTTAATTCAGATATGTTATGCGCGATAAATAAAAAAAATTAAATAACAGATATTTTTTAAAGGTTGTAATTGAATTACCCTTATGAATTCTTTCGAGACAACTATACAACCATTATTTTTATCGCTACATTTTTCATGTGAAAATATTTTAAAATTACTCTTGTGTTTCTTTATATCTTTTTGGCGACTGAATAAACCAGTTTATTGTTACAGGTTCATGAAAAATGAGTTCAGATATCATTGAAAGACTCAGAAAAAACCTTAACTGACTGATAGATAACTCTCGATGTTGCAAATGCAATCTAATTTTTCGCAAAGGGCATGTTATTTGAAACAAACAAAGAAGCAGTGGCATTTTCGAAAAATTGTAAATGTTGTGTCTAAGTTGATGATGTCGTATGCAATTGAGACTGAAATCATTCAAATACAATAAAAGCAAGTATAAGGAAGAGAATTCATCAAATAATTGAAAAATATCTATTCCGTCACCGTTATCACAAGATTTATGCGAACAAAATAATCTAAATGAGTTCTTACAACTTCACTGGTCTTGTTTAGCAGCCGAACAGCCGGGTCAAAAGGAAAAATCTGTAACGCACAGTGCTCGTCTTATGAACTTCTTTTGTAAACTCCTCAACTTTCTTCATTGGAAATCACATTTTGACACCGCCCATTATTTAGTGAGTTATCTCAACCATTATCCAGTCGAAGTCCCAGCACTTTTATCAATATGAACGACAAGAACAGATAGCTCAGAATATTTACTTCGAAACATAAATAAATAGAATAATATGCAACACTAAGAGATATTGTTTTATTTGTAAATCACTGAAAGACGTTCACGATATACCTTTCGAAGCAAGAATACAAATTTTTGTGAAAAGGCGATTATTAATTCCAAAAAGAAAGATATGTTGTTTCAAAGATTTATTGAGGCCCAGATAAATGTCATGGTAATTTTGTCAAGTGAATCTCTTATTGATACAGATGAAGTTGAGAAGTTATTGAATCAATTATCAGATAGTGTTAACTCTCATTTGCACAATCAAATCGATTATTGTTCTATATCAAACGAACGTATTAAAGCTCTTACAAATCATACTTGGACACAATTATTATACTCAAAGAAATTATGGAAAATATGAAAATTCCAAAAATTGTAACATAATTCAAGTCATTGTCTATTTTCTTATGAAATTGAGATGAGGCATATCTGATAATTTGATTACTGCTATTATAGATAACAAAGAAGCAGTTGTGATGGATTTCATTGGAACATTGTTAGGAAACAATGGAAACAAAAGGAAAACATCTAACAACCAGCGAAACTAATGAATCTTGAAACGTGACGAAAATTCGTTGGAAAATGAGAATTGAAAATAACGAAACTGCAGTAACATTAGTTACAGTTAATATACATTTAATGTATGAGTTGGAAAATGTCCTAATAGAACGAAACTGCAGTAACGTTTGTTACAAATAAAAGTGCTAAAAAACATGGAAAGTTGCAATTCTCATTTTTCATTATGATTTCCTAGTAACGGCTACATCCATCAATTCATTAAAATTCGTTGGGTTTTGGAAGCCGTCTATGGAATCATAGGACAAAGTATAGCAAGGAGAACTCGGAAATATATTGTCACAATCTATATCTTATATAGGGGAGATGCTTGAAGAAGATGGATCGCTTAAGATTAGTTACATGAAGGCATAGTTGATTTTAGGATTTTTTTGTCATTGTGCAAATAGTTTGAGAAAGATTGAATGTTGCTCACATATTGCTACTCTGATATAACATCTCTCATACAGTGTCTCGACCTACCAAGACACTGTCTACAATTTTTGCTGCTGAAAATTGATGGTCTATTACTGATAAAGATAGTGAAGAAAACTTAATTTGAATGCCAAATTTTTTCAATGAATATTTTTCTTGTTATTATGTAACTTCACTGTCTACATTTTTATAAAAAACAACTTTTGATGCATAAAATATTATGGAAAATTAAAACTAACAGGTTTGTTTGTCTTAAAAATATTATGCTTACCTACGTAAAATGATAACACAAATTTAAGTCTTTCACCTACTTCATTTTCGGCACATGCCTATAAAAAATACGTTGTATGAATTTTGCATTATATCCATTATACATGATGATTATTTCTGCGTAAATTGATAGGAATATATCTAAAGTCAATAACCTTGATAGTCTGGAACATCGAAGAAAGGTTGGAGATTTGTCTCTTATAATCCAGTAGTTCTGATCTGATACCCAATTTTGATAGTGACGGTGTGTCATCAGGTTGGTGATATAGCCTGTGTCTGGTGTCAATATGTATATCCTTCAATAAATTTGGTTGAATTATCTGTAAATTCATCTATTCGGTGGTCTATCAAAAAAATCACTAAAGAAGGCCGCTCAAGAATTTGGTGCAAGGAGTCGTGAACTCGACATCCATCTCCTCTGTAGACTCGCTCCTGATCTAAATTTACAAGAAAGTCGGAGTTGTAAGCTCGATATCCATCTCCTCTGTAGACTCAGCGTCAGAAAGAATTTTTAAGTTCACTCTGTACATAAAAGTCCCACGAGTAGCTAGGAAAAGAAGGTCAATCACGGAAGAGCCCCGCATTACCGTGACAAAGCGATGCTACGACGAGAGGGCGCCCGGTATCTCGAAGGTTTCGTAGAGACAGCTGATAGGCTCAGTGTCATTCATCCTCTCGGCACGGATACACACACCTTAAGATTAAGCCATCGTTGGGATTTCATTTAGTTAGGGAATAACAGAACCACAAGTAATACTGTCATTTCCGTATCCAGCGGGGCTACGTGGAAGCAGGCATCCGATGGCCGGTTTGCTCAACCCCCACATCCCAAGCCTATGAACTCGCCAAAAACAGCATGCACAGTGGTTCAGGCAGTGAAAGATGAACAAGGACAGCCAACCCGCCAAAGGCAACTAGTAGTCTGAGTCTAAGTGGTGCCTTCAGTTCCTCATTAGTGTCTACGACTGATGGGGACGTATTTGGACTGCTGAACCAAAAAACTGTGTTGTAGAAACCAGAGAGCAAAAATAAAGCGTTCGGAAGCAGTTTCGTTGATATTTCTGAATAGTTAGGGGAGATGGATTTCTGAATAGTTAGGGGAGATGGCATCACCTTTAAAAAATTAAGACAAATAGCACGGTTGTTAATAACTACTTAACGTTCTCGTAACTAGAAAGTTTAAATTAACACAACAAAAAATGTGTTCATAGTATACATAACTGAGCCGACAATAATGCAAGTGCAACATAGACTGAATAAATATCACTTTTATTATCATAAACACAAGTCTCAAAAATGTATTTTTTTCAAAAATCATTCCAGCAATCTCTGGTTGTGAGAATGCAAACACATGTCACATTATACTACTAAGGGTATATAATTGACAGGTACGCTAAGTTGATCCCGCTTAAATGGAATTGAAATTATTTTGCAAATATATATTGCACACTAACAGAATAACCGCAAACATTCTCTTCCCGACTCTCGATTTTGTATTAGGTACCCAACATCGATATAGTGTTAGTTGTGTTTTTTCAACTTGCCTAAAATACTTCCTCCAGATTCGAACCATGGCGGATTGTTAGTGATATTGATATTCACAGTCACAGTATTTTTATGCTAATCGGCGTTAAAAAACTATTGAAATATCAAATTCTTGAGTTCTTTCTAATTGTCCCTGTTTTATAGGATCGTCAGAAATACTGCAGACCACTCATCAAATAGTGGTAATACCTCAGTTTTTGAAACAAGACAGATCAAAGATCTTCGACCTAACATCCATAAATCTTCAGATTCAAGATTGAATGAACCAGAGCAACCAAACGAGAGTTTCATTGGAGGTAAAAAAAGATTCCAGGAAATTCGACAGAAGCTTCAAATTGATGATGATGATTACCATTCTAGTAACGTCACACCACCTAACAGTCAGAATTCTTCAGTAGATGGAATTTCTGTAGGATCGAGTAGAACATCACATCCTTTCCGCATTATTGAACAAGACACCATAAGTTTACAAAGCCTCAACTCTTTGGGGAGAGTCGGACGAATATTAGTTGGGAATGTAGATTCTGGTAAGTTGATATAATTACAAGAATAACTTGCGTCATAATTATAATGATTTTGATGAAAATTCTACCTTATGCTCCGGGGGATATTGAATCAGATGTGGGGAATGATGAGTGCCAAATTTATCGGAAATATACTGATTCAAGCCTAATATAGCCCTAGTCGATCATTTGTCGTAGCGTTCCCATTTCTGGGTCAGGCAAATATCGTCCGAAAAGAGGAGAAAAAACAAAAATATCAAAAATTTCAAATTGTAATGAAAAACTTTATACAGGTGTAGAAAGGGCAATTTTTTTAGTTCACCCTGAAATATCAGACATTACAAATATAATCACATTAAAATCAATGAGAAGTAATTAGGCAATGAAAACTCCAGTCAGTTCAAAATTTTATGGAATAAACTTTGGCTATGAGTTGAAGGTCAAACGGTGTTACGTGCTTCAATCATAACACAGGCAAAAAAAATGTTTTTGAAAACTTTGTTTACTTTAGTAGCTGATTTTTATAGATTTTTGTGTGCTGAATCCAAATCTGGTCTTATTTTTTTGTATTACCTATAGTTTTTGAGAAATTTACTCTTTTTATATAATTTAAAATCTATACGGTATATGGTAAAATTAATGAAACCCTATGTTAAATCACTCTCATGGTTTTTATTTACAATAGGTTACTTGAAATAATGATACAGTGTTGTAATATAGGTTTCACTAGTCAGATGGAATTGGTTTATACTTCCTTTCTTTTTATTTCTTTGAAGTTTCTTGTGTAGCTTTTCCTGCGATGAGTCGCTTGTTGAGCTTCACGGTGAAGTGACCAACAGTAGTCTCCCATCATGTTAATGTTCCAGCGGCCCTGGTAACGTTTTTCCATCAATTTAATATCTTGGTGAAAACGCTCACCCTGCTCCTCACTAACATCTCCTAAATTTTTCGGGAAGAAATCAAGATAACTGTTCAAGAAGTGGACTTTCAGGCGAAGCCTCAGTAATGAACGATTGGCAAGCTACGTGGTAGCTTTTATTTATACTTTCATAGAGTGGTGGGGCAGATGGTAGGGCTGTCGGTTTTGGGGGGCAATGGCGGGGTGTCCATGCAAAAGCTCACTTCTGATTGCTGGGTTATTTTGATTGATTCGCAGTTACTAGGCTTTTGTGATTGGTCCACGTTGTTGACAGGTATGCTACTGCTGGAATGCCGATCGGAGTTGTACTCTAGTCCGTTTCTGGCCATCTTGAGCAGTGGTCACCAACTTCTGTTGGCCTCTATACCTTCTTCTTTCCTGTTGAAATTGTTGGGATAGGACAGCAGTTTCTTCGTATTTTATTACGTGGTCTGTTTATACTAGGGGAAGTTCTGCAATTGCGTGAGGCGGCAGCTAAACTTGTGTTTTTGTATCCTGGTGTTGATGCTGTGTTTGGTAGTTCCAATGCGAATTGAGCCACAGGAACAGAGAATTCTGTAAACACCGGCGGATGCCAGAGGCTCTTTTTTGTCCTTGGCTAATCTGAGTGTTGTGTAGAAGATTAGTTGGCTTGTAAATACTCTTAATGATGTGAGGTTCAAACAGTTCTCCGATGCGGTTCTTGACTTTGATTATTTAAGGCAAATAGGCTGTGCCTACCACTGGCGGCTGTATTGTGGTCGAAGTTGGAGTATTTCTTCTTCTAGGATGTAGAGCATGTTTGACTTCTTGTTTTGTGAAGAAGTTCGCTTGTAAAGCTTGATCGAGATGACACAGTTCTCCTTCGAAAAGACGTTGTTTACAAATCCTGCTGACACGGTCAAAAAGTGTTTTCATCATAGCACGTTTTTGTCTTGGATAGTGGTTTGAGTTCTTGTTGAGATAACGATCAGTATGGGTATGTTTGAGATAAACTGTGTGGACTCGTTTTCCGTCCGTTTTTCAGTTGACCAGTACATCTAAAAATTGTATTTTCCTTCGTTTTCCTTCTTCATGGTAAACTGGACTCGAGAATCAATAGAAATGATGTGGCGTAGAAGCTGTTTTAATGCTTGTTTCCAGTGGCTTCAAATAACAAATGTGTCATCAACATAGCGGAACCAACAGGTAGGTTTCGAAGGAGAGGTGCTGAGCGCTTTCTTTTCGAAAACTTTCATGTAGAAATTTCCAACCACAAGGCTAAGAGGACTTATCATAGCGACTACATCCATTTGTTCATAGAAACAGTTATTTTATTGCATTTTATTGTTATGACTGGCAGCGAGTGAACATGTATGTTTTGTGCTCCTAGTTTAAAGTGACAAAATGTATTTAGTTGAAGCAAAAAAATTCAAAACTTTCTCTGTATATCAATTGTATCATCGTGTTCTACTGGCTTACCGATTACCTATCGTAAAAAATAGTATAAGTAAGTACCAGCATAAATTAAATTATTAATGAAGACGATTTCATCAAGCAAATTGTGCAAAAAGTGACCGATAGCGTAGCAAATACTATCACCACAAAAATTTCCGAGTTGGAGCAAAAAATATAAGAAGTCAATGTGAATAATAGTGCAGCAATCATTAAAGACTTGAAAGAAGAAACTTATCTAAATTGGGAAATTATCTTCCAAACTAATTGAAGTTTCTCACAATGAAAAGGATATCAAAATTTCTAAAAAGAATATTAAAGTTATTGGTAATATTGAAATACAGCTGATTTGAAAAAATCAAACGTAGTTTACAATATACCATGTAATAATTGTTATTTAAATTATATTGGAACAACTTCCAGCACATTATTAAGCAGAATAACTTCACACAAAAGTGATATCAGATCAAGCAAAAGTTTTATATTCATAAAAAAATATGTCTAAAAGGCTTTTTTACGAAATGGTCCTAATCAACAAAAATCCTAATAATATGAACAAAAAAAAGGTATATTTTTAGGAGAGGTTAATTTTTTGTGAAAGAAAAGTTTTGGATTTCTACTTATCATTTTGATACAAAACAATGTAGGAATCTTCCAAAGAAAGGAAAGAAGCAATCAATTTCAAAATAGTAATTCTATTTAAAGATGTGTAGCTCATGCAAAGAAGTAACTTTCAGACACCAACTGGAAGAAAAAGCCCCCTCGAAACAGCTTATTTCATGTAAACATCGAATTACATAAAAAATATGTTTTTAACAAATACTTTTATATGAACACTGAATTATACAAAAGCACTTTTCTCTATTAAGTATTCTAAACATTTGTTATGGAATTGAATCAGATGTCATTCACTGGATTCTTACACAATGTTTCATTGTAAGCTCCTCAATACTAAATTGGATAACATTATAAGAAAAAACACGCCATTCATAAAATTACGAGTTCATGTCACGGAATGAGTTTGATCTACTCATGTCATCGATAACATCGTAATGATATTCATTCACTCATTGATTAAATCCCAGCCAAAGGAATCTTGTTTAAATTGAATGTTATCCAATTTGGTAATGAGGAGCTGATAAGGCGAATATCTTACTGTGAAACAACAATGTCTACTAGTGAGGATGACAGTGTTCCAGACAAGTGAGGTTTTGCCTCTTTCATTTACTATATTGTGTAGTAATCCTGTGAATGGCATGTGATTCAATTCCATAACGAATGTTTGGAATACAAACTGAATAGAAAAAAGTGTTTTTGTATTTGTTTCCAAAAGTATTTGTTTCGGAAAGTATTTTTCTTTTGAGAGGGCTTTTTCTTCCGGTTTGTGTCAGAGAGTTACTTCTTTGCATCATCTACACATCTTTGTATAGAATTACTTTTTTGAAAATGATTGCTTCCTTCCTTTCTTTGGAAGATTATCAAACATCGAATTTTTCCCATACTAACACTATTAAATTACTATACTATTCTCTGGTCAGCCCTAAACTAGAGTTTGCCTCAATTATTTGGTCCGGGGAATATCAAACACATTCAAATGATTTGAAAAAAGTACAAAACAAACTGTTGAGATATTTGTATTTTAAGAAGTACCACTTGTGGCCTAATTATAATACCGTCAGGACATCACAATTAAGATCGGAATTCAAAATACTATCCTTGGAACAGAGACGAACTTCAACATCAATGATTTTCCTGTATAAATTATTAAACAATTCAACAGCTTCCCCAGAAATTCTCAATATGCTTCCATTTAATGTACCTCCACGGCTTATATTTTCCGCACCAATGTTTAATACCTCTGCAATATGTACATCATCGAGAGCACCTCTTTTAGCTATGCTTAAAGTAGCAAACAATTTCAGTCTACTTATGGATTTAGATTGAACCTTACCTCTAATAGTTTTTCGTTCAAATTGAATTTAACTTTGTGAAACTGAACATATATTTTACAAATCCACTCAGTGAAGTTCTGAACGACTATCTACAATTCTGGTATTAGCAAGTAGTAATTAATAATCTAGTGAAGACGTATATTTATATAGTGTATTTTCCAACAGTTTATCCATGTNAATCGTAGGTCTTGAACCCCTAAAACCCCACAAACCCCTCTATACGTTACAATTGAATTGGTATTGTGTCATTATTGGTTGAATACATCATTTTTGAAATTTTTCTGTCACCTGGCACTTTTTGGAAAAGCCAGTTTTTATCGAGATGCGGCAAAAAATTTTAGTAACAAAAAGTATGTGATCAATCAATCAATTAATTTATCACTTAAAGAAGTGTTCAATCACAATACAGGAGCCTACATTGTTCCATACTAATTAAGGTAACACGTCAGATGTGCTTAACAAAGACCAATCAACCTACCATAAAAATTGAAATTGAAACTAAACTATCAGAGTCAAAAAGGAGTATTTGTGAACAGAAGAATAGTACTTGTAAAAAAAAAGTATGCACAAATTCCAATTACTAATACCATTACATTTAAAAACATGTTAAAAGCAGCTTTTTTTTAATATTCGGTGAGAAGTTCATTTCTGCAGAAATTCGTCAACAGAGCAATGTGCTTTCAGCACAAGATGATTTTTCAGCTTAGCTTTATAGGAATGTGGGATGGGGGCAGATTTAATTTTGTCGTCAAGAGCATTAAAGACGGAGTCTGACACCCATCGACCCCGCGTGATTCTGCGACACTGATAATCTAGTGAATAGTTGTTGTAGTTTATATTTATTTTCAGTACGATAGTCACGAGAGTCTCCACGAGAAGAAATATTAGTAATAACCAAGTATGTACAAATGTGTAGTATTTCGCAAAATAAATGTTCAAATTAGCCTCCATTTTCCTGAATACACATTCGGCACCGTTTTAAAAAAGAAAACCAAATTTTTTAGAAGATCGTAGGCTTCTAACGAAATCGATTTGCACTTTCAATGATCCAAAGCCTCAGTTGTTGTTCACTGATGATTTCAACAGAACACACGTCCTCTTTCATAAAACCCCAAAAGCAAAAATCAATAGGGTTCAGATGCTGGTCAAGAAACCAGTTTCAGTTTATTTCGGTNGAAAATCTTCGTTTTCATTGTAGGGTCTCTTTCTGAATCTGGACGGAAAGCCTTATCGGTAACAGCTTTATCATCAAGTTCGTTGGATTCTGTATCAATTGATTATCCCGAACAAGTTCAGCAGTGTACAAGTACAATAACTTTATTGGCGGATGATTTTGTTGATGAAAAACGACTTCCTTTACAAGAACCGGATGTCATCGCCAGCACAAAATCTAATGTTGCCCATCAGCATTCTGGAGCGCCCTGTCTGCATATTTCTCCCAAATTAGATGTCCCCGTTGCTCCACCTAGACGCAGAAAAAAACATATCAAGTCAACTGGTCTCGCACTGAAAGTAAGGTTATTGATGAAATTGAATCACTCATTTTTATTATTATGACTATGTGTTCTATAAATCTCTAAAAATTATTGGGAATGCCGTAGATTCATACACCAGTCTTAAATCGTTAGTTGCAAGATATTTTTATCTAAGTGTGTGCGTGCGTGCGGGTGTGCGTGCTTGCGGTCAGCAATCTAACCAAATGAAATTATTATCAGCTTTTCGTATATTAAAGGAAGTTACTTGCGACGAGTCTTTCAAGAGGAAGACGTTGTTCAGGTGCCTGGTTTTAATTCAGTTTTCTGCGCGGCGTTAGCTGCGTTGTTCTTTCGTCTGTTATTTGCCATGAGCACCTACAAAATCGTAGGTCTCACATGAGAGGCTAGGGTTTGGTGCGTTCACCAAAACTTGCGCATTTCGTATGCACCTCTCTGAAATATATTTATTATTCTGACTCCCACTCCGGCGTATGTAATTGTAAAGTTGCTTCTGGACTTTGTCTGCAGCTGCAGGCAGAGCTTATGACTCGCTGGAATTAATTTTGTTTGCTCCGCCGCTGACGGCGATCTTGTATTCTGAAACAGGTCTGTCGGTGGTCATCCCGACCAAATGAAATCAATTTCAGCTCGTCGTATATATAAAGTTACTTACTAAGGCATTGTACAGGTGCCTGATGGTTTTACTTCAAATTTTTGCGTGGCATTAGCTGCCACACGTACATACAAAACCGAAGAGGTAAAGCAACAAGCAAGAAGGTTTACTCCTATAACATTATAACTCCGAGCATTTCGTGAATACTGTCATGGAGAAAAGCGTTGTTGTGATTGAAACACAATGATGTTATAAAAATACCTGACAGTTATGAGTCATATTAAAGACAGTATGAGGAAATTCGGTAAAATTTTCTTATTATACATCCATAAATGTATGTGTGTACGTCACAGTGTCATTGTCATATAATTCTACGGATATAGCGGGTACAGCGCAATGACCGTCGGTTAACCGTATTTTGGGAAATGATAGGAAGTTTTATCTAGAACTGCCTGATCTGTACTAATGATACCCAAGAGGCTGAAACAGTGTCTGTCTGGTGGCCCTCAAATTGAAATCAAATTGGGAATGATTCGAATAGCACTCATTTATTGGATGAGGCTGGAAAAAAATGCAACTGATGAAAACCCTATATCCTGAAGAAGCCAACTTGATTGTAGAAACGCATTGATGAACTTGATACACCATCATCATTACACGTAGATGATACTTCCTTGGTTATCTCAAGTGAAAATGAAATTATTCTGAATAAAAATTGTGAAACAAGAAACAACCATAACAAACTTAAGTCAATCATTTGCAGCAAATGTTTTGTACTTGAATGTATAACAAACGCGATGTATTAAGATTTCACAACAGACCTAAAGAATATGAGTAGGTTGTAGGTTATCTTCTATAACATCGAGATAGAATACAGTAAAAAGATTTCAAGAATTTATATGTATNTCTTTAAGTTAGATACTGGTGCAATGACAAATGTCATCAATATAAAAACAATTCTCTCTTTGAATATAGATGAAAAAACATCAATATCGTTTTTCTTTGAACATGTGGTGCGGTTTGTTGAATAATAAATCACTGGGAACCTAACCGGAGCAAAATATGTAGAAATTATAGAAGAAATGATGGATAATCTTCCTATACGGTATCGGCGTAACCGTCCATGGTTTCAACAACTCAAGAATAGTCACAGATTATCTGAATCAAACTTTTCGCGATTCATGGATTGGAACAAAAGGTCCAGTAGCGTAGCCTGCCAGATCACCGGATTTGAATCTGCTGAATTTTGATTTGTGGGAATATCTCAAAAATGAAATTTATGATACAACGAACCCGACAATAGAGATTCTTCACAAGAAGATTGAGAATGCATTGCAAGGTATTCAAGGAGACAAAATAAGCAAATGTATAAGAAGTTCGAGTTCCAGAACCTCAAAGTACATTTTACAAAATGATGGACGTTTTGAACACTCACTTCAATAATTTTCATTTACTTTCAAATGATTTTTTTTCAAATAAATGATAGTTTCGTTTATTCGTTATGAATTAAGTTTTTCTCCTCTTTTGAAATAGGTAAATAATTAGTACTTGTTTCTTCCTTTTCTTCTGATAAAATCCATTCAGGTTGTTAATTAAATTGAAGGTAAATGTAATACATATTCGACCCAAAGAAATTTGGATAAGGGCCAAAATCACCTGAAAATCAACTTTGAATGATATTGTATGATATAACGTTGAATTCAGCGTTAAAAGTAATTTCAAAAACTGTCATAAAATATGCAGGTCCGTATTTAAGAGGCCGAGGATGACCTAGAGAGTACGAAACGTTGGATACGAAATATGAATATTTGAAATAACGTGGGAAAAAAAGAAAAATCAATATGACAGAATTTACTTTTCTTATGATATCTCAATAACTGGCCTGATTTTCTCGATTTGTGTCCTATTACGGTTGCTAGATATGTTGTATTTGAAATGAAAATGAATAATTTGTGAATTTATATCAGTACTATATTGAATCAAAATAAAGAAAGACTGATTATGATAATAATAGATTATGAGATCGTTCCTCAATATTTCACAGTTGTGAGAAAGTTGAATAATAAAAGGTACTTATATTTTTCAGACCTCTGACCTGATTCCTTTAGAACCTCCGGAACTAGCAAGTCCTGCGAGTACTATAGAATCACTCACCAGGGAGTTCGAACATTCCTTAGATCAATTTCCACCAAGCAAGTTAGATGAATGTGATAAATTCTTACCTTCTGAGATGAAAAGTTTCGATTTGAACACTGGGCATTCTTTAGATATAAGACAAGCTTTAAAGGGACAATTTGTCGTCAAACCTCAAGATAATAATATTCCAAAAGGACACATCAGTATTAGAAATATACATAATAATGAAGAAAATATAAATTTATCAACAGAAATAAAAAATTCAGAAAATGGTGCGCGAGGATCTTCTAATAGGAGCAGTTTAGGTCATTACAGTTTGGGCCCTCATAGGTGAATGTTTTGAAAATGATTCATATTTCAAAATTCTATTCATTTTATCAAAATGTATTCATTGAAATTATTTTTCAGAGGGACTCATCAACACGAAAGAAAAACCCCTGTTAGAGAGCGCAGAAAATCAGCTGGAGATGAAAATTTTTTAAAAAATTTATTTCACGTTCGTACACATACAGATTCTGGCAAACAGCTTTCTGATTTGGAAATTCTTGAACAAGTGACAGTTCTCAATTTGGATACAGGGGAACGCGTTCCACTGAGTGTTGCAGAAGATAAACTTCCTCAATGTGTTAATCCCCTTTCCCTTCATATAATGAGAATTACATCAGAATATGTTAGCAATTCCAATATGGACAAGGATAAGGAATCTGATGAAGAAAGTGTAGATAAAATATCTGAATTACCGATTGTGGGTGAGCATGATTTGGAAATAGGTAGATTGAAACAGAAAACTGCTAAGTTTAAACAGTTTCTCGGTTCAACTGTTAAGAAAACAGTGCATAGAGCAAAAACAATTGCACATGAAGTTTCTCATGCTCGCCATAAAGAGGACACAATTGATATTGTTGATAACGTGCATCCTGGTGAACATAACTGTAAATTAAAGGTAGGTATTTCTTTCTATACATATTGGTTATTATATCCATTCAATATGCCTCGAAAAGGATCCCAACACATAACCACAAAATATATACACCCAATTTTCTCAGTTGAGTGATTTGTTGAGGTTGAAAATTTTGATCCTTGTTTAAAAATTGTACGGGGCTCTTGTCGTTTTCGGACGTAGCAATAATGCCTGTCACAAACACTCCTTCACAAAATTCCTGCAGAAGAATATTCCATTCATCATCATACAAACTACATTGACATAATTCAATCATTTCAGAAGAAATAATTGTAACTTCGATCGCAATGTTGTTAGCGTAAAATGAGAATTTTAAAGTTTTGTGATTTATGTTTGCACCTTGTTGAAAAAAAGTCTGAACCTAATACGCCGTGTATATCAAAATTGAACTGTTTTATAACTAAAATTCTTGCTTTATTATAGTATTAGCTGATAAAAATTGAATATTTACAGATGCTAATGAAAATGTAGAGTCAGCTATTCCTAATATCTTAATTTGTTTTGAAGTATCGCTAATATCATATTGTTATGTATATAGTAGGGAGGGTGAGTGTATACTTACAGCACTTACGGCCTGGCCACGGGGATCGGCGTTGCGAACGTCGAAGCGGAAGCCGAAGCGACCATGCGCGCGACACCGTTTGCAGGCCACGGGCAGTCACGTTCGCCGCCGCGACCAATAGTCCGACAGCGAAATGTCTTTATCGAATTTATCTCGATATTACTTGTAAAGTAATAGTTTTTTATGATTTTATATATTTATACTTATAGATGTTTTGTCAATTGAATTATGTTTATGTTTTGTTGTATTTATCATTGCTTTCGTTTTATTGACATTGAGCTTGAGCTTATTAATGTTGAGGAATTCAAATATTCTGATCTGAATATAATTAATTTTATTGATAGCTCATTTCATAAGTTCAGACTTCCATTGTCTAATATAATATAAATTGATTTGGAATCTCTGAAAGAAATTAAAAAGATAGCTTTTTGTAACTCAGGTTCACTCACTGCAATCAGAGTATCATCTGCAAATAAGTTGATAATTCACATCCATTGATAAAGTTGATGTCATTAATGTAATGGACAAATAGAAGCGGGCCCAAGGCACTACCTTGCGGTACACCATTATTGACACCTTTTTGGTTTGAATATGTCCTGTTAATTTCAGTCTGTTGAGTTCGACCAGAGAGATAGCTTTCAAACCATTCAAGTACTGAACCAGAACTTCCATAATATTTGAGTTTTTTTATAGTAGAATAGTAATATCAATTGTCTCAAAGACCCGTTTAAAGTCTAGAAACACTACCACTATATATTTATTATCATCAACAGCAAGTTTCCATTTGGATATGGAAACTTGTAATGCTATTTCACATGAGTGTTTAGATCGAAATACGGATTGGTTCATCATAATCAGTTTATTAGTTTCAATGTAATCAATCACTTGTTCACACACTGCCGTCTCAATCATTTTTTCAAGGGGAGATAAAGTATTTATCGGACGAAGGTTGATGGCTTCATTAGTATTATTAATTTTTGGTACATAAATCACTGTACTATTTTTTAGTTTTTACAGTACTTTACCAGTTCTGAGTGGGGTATTAACCAAATTTAATAATACTCCACCGATTACCTCAAACACACTTTTAAGTACTTTGTTGTTTATATAATTAGAGTTACATTTATTATCGAAGCTTCTAATAATAGTCCTAAGTTCTGACATTGATAATAATCTGAATTTAGTTATCTCACAATTAATAGGTAGGAGATTATTGTTAGTCCAGAGGGGAGAATGGATAATGGTGTTCTTAATGTCTACTTATACTATCAATGAAAAAACAATTGAACTTCTCTCTGCCTTTTCTGTATCATGAGTGATTTGACAGACTCCTTGGGTTATTTGAAATAATATTGTATGTGGAAGTGAATCGTTTTTCTGTTTGACTAATGCCTTTAGGGTTTTCCACATTTCTTTCGAGTCTTTCAAGCAATTATTGATTTTATCAGTATAAAAATTGATCTTTTTTATTTTCAGTAAATTAACAACTTCATTTCTGCAACTTTTACAAATAGCCCGCCATTTGAGTTGTTTGTCAACTTCAGTGGAACCTGTTTTGAAGTCTTTATATGCCCTGTCTCTACATTTGGTTTACTATCTAACTTCATTATCATACCAAGGAAGTTAACCTTCTCTCAAGTTGAAAGTTTTCATAGGGGAAGTGGTATCAATATTTGTTTTGAAATGTTGTTCAATGTTAGAATATATCACATCAACGTCTGCAAAATTCAGGTCCCAATTACAGTGCATTGTACATACATTTAATGCATTGAGATGACATTTGCTAAAGTTCCTGAAGTATTTTGTTTTATTGCTATTAAAATTATGAGAGGTTTTAATTGAAATGGTAATGATATTGTGATCAGTAATTTTAGGGGTATCATGAACTATAGATGAAGCATAAGCTGTGTTATTTAATTCATAGTCAATTAAAGTGCTACTGTTATTTGTAACTGGTAGAATCTTCGACCGTCTGCTTAATTCCCAACAAATTATTGTAGTTTTTAAATTTCACTAACATATCTATTATTATCATCTAGAAAATTGAGATTGAAATCTCCTACTAATACACATTTACATTAATTATTAAAAATATTCTCTGCTAAATCTTCAAAACTATCGTGAAACATATTGAAATCTGAGCTAGATAAACGGTACAGATATCCAACTAATACCTCTATTCGTTGAAACTTCAGATTAGTAACCAAGCACCAATATATTACGTCTACAGATATGTTTTTATAGACAGTCCATTTGATAATATCACGAACATATAACACTACACCTCTAGTGTGGCGACTCTGTGAATCACATCTCACTATTCTGTAGCCATCTATTTTAATTTCGAGATCCATTATATCAACTGTTCTACCTGATTCACTGAGCAGCAGGATTGTTGACTGATAGCATATTATATCTTGAACAAGCTGATCGTAATTGGCTACAAAAATTTGGATATTCATGTATAAGAATTGACTATAGAAGGGTATAACAGGATGCCGAGTGATTCGTTTTTTCTTAGTGGAGTCTTGACAACAATCGTTGGAATATAATTTATGTACTACATATAATTTTAGATTCAGTAATTTCTATTACGGAATTATATTTCTCACATGATTTCTCATCAGAAATAATTTGAGTTTACAGACAATTCACAAATCAATGTTCAAAATGTTCATTTCAAATTTTAAATGTAAAAGAAAGGTACGAAATATATTAGTTAAACAAATGAATAACTAGATACTCGCAATGAATAAGTGATTACTGGTTTCAGACAGAAACAGATTATGAATGTTAATGGATCAAACAGCCATTCCAAGAATTGTGTCTATTGTGTACCATGTGAACATTGCCAGTAACTTATTCGGAAATATTTATTTATTTCTCAACATTTATGTTATCACATTCTTCCAGATATTATCATCATTAAATTTCCATTTCAACTTATAATAATATCATAATATTAGTTTATTCATAATAGTACCATTTACTGTTTTATGAACTCACACCCATATTTCAATTCTCCAACTTCAGGTTTCTATACTATTTTTTCACAAAATGATAATTGGATTTTGAGCCAGTCTTTAAGTATGCCCACTGACTATATGTGAAAAATTACACAACACAACAAAGTTTTTGTTTCGGGGTTGAAATTAGATGATTTTAATGTATTTCCACGTGTTAAAACCGAAAGTGACCATAAAAAGTATATATTAGCTCTTGTTTTCAAGATATAGTATCATTATATTATGTATATTGAGTTTTCAACAAATGAAATATTTCATCACCAACAGTTGGTACATATGTTTGTTTACATAACACCCCTCTCATCAGCTGTTCTTAAGTAGTAAACATAACCTATGTGAGTTTGTCAATTGTACGCACGTGGTTGCTATTGAAATTATCGTGTGAAGTTGATTTTTAAATTAATTTAAGTGCTGATCTGAAATGCCTCGAAAGTGTGTGAATTCTGTCGATAGCTTTTGCTATATATG